TGCTCCGTGCATGGCTCCAGCCTGGCTGAGTGGACATTGGCACCCAGTCCCTGCAGCCTTCAGCTCAGAACAGCCAGCCCTGCCAGACCAGTCTGTGCCAGGGGACAGCACTGACCAGGGGACAGGAGTGACCAGGGGACAGGAGTGACTAGGGGACAAGAGTGACCAGGGGACAGCACTGACCAGGGGACAGGATTGACCAGGGGACAGGATTGACCAGGGACAGGATTGACCAAGGGCAAGGGGATTTATCAAGGGGCACACACAGAGGGGGTGACACCACGCCAAGGATGGAAGGACGTTCCCCAGAGCACGAGGGACAGCAAGGACCTTCAGCCCAGAGCTCAGCCACCCCARGGACACTGCAGGAGCAGCAGCCACTTGTTCAAGAGCTGTTTCACTCTCCCCAGGTCAGAAAGGGCTTTCCTGAGGCTTAGGGAGGGCTCCTGCCCCTGTGCCCAGCCCTGAGGCTCCTCTGCAGGGCCGTGTCCAGCTCTGACCCTCACCCAGCAGGGACAGGGAGCTCCTCCAGCAGGGCTGGTGCAGGCTGAGGATGAGGAGGGGCTGCAGCATCCCCGTGCCCAGGGAAGGCTTAGGGAGCTGGGGCTGCTCAGCCCCCAGAGGAGTTCCAGCCCAGAGGGGCCTCAGCCCTGGGTGTCTCTGGGTGTCCCTGGGTGCAGGGAGGGTCAGAGCAGGGCCAGGCTCTGCTCCCTGGGCCCAGCAGTGGCACCAGAGGGACGGGCAGGGACTGAGCCCAGGGAGCTCCCTGGACAGGGGCAGAACTTCTGTCCTGGGCAGTGCCCAGCCCTGGCCAGGCTGCCCAGGGAGGGGCTGGAGTCTCCCTGAGCGGGGACATTGCAGAGCCCTCTGGACACAGCCCTGTGCCCTGTGCTCTGGGATGGCCCTGCCTGAGCAGGGGGTGGCACCAGGGACCCTCTGGGGTCCCACAGCCTGACCCAGCCTGGGATTCTGTGAAGGCAAAGCACCCTCAGAGCTGCTGCTAAAGGATGAACATGAACCATGAACAGGGCTCTGCTGCTCTGGGCCCATTCCCATCTCTTCCCCAGCTGTTTTCCTACTGTTTGGGCAGCAACCCCSRRGCACTGCTGCCCYACGGGGTCACTGCATCCCCACTTCWTTCCTCAGCAGGGGAYTCCCCTGTGCCCCAGCCAACAYCCCAGGGCTTGGGAAAACACTCTGGGGTTTATGGACAACAACCAGGACAAGTTCCCAAAGTTCCTCAACCTGCAGAATRTGGTCCAGTCCCCCAGAGGGAAACAAAGCCCAAACCAACCAGCAGAGGATCCCAGATCTGTCTGGGAGGGAGGAGAGCTCACAGATCATTGGTTGTTTTCTTGCTCAGCACATCTGGTTAAATGTATTTTTGAAAAAAAAAAGCATCAACTTGATTCTAAAACCTCCAAGGATGGAAGATCTCCCCCTTCCCTCCTGAGCTGGACCCTCATCACTAATTTGCAGCTCATTCCTCATTTGGATATGCGTTGGGGAGCAGCGATGGCTGCATGAAACATCTTTCAGCAGAGATTTCTCATGCTGACGATGAGGAGGATTCACACCCTCAGTGCCTGCTCCAAGCACTTGTCTGCCAAACTAAGGTACCTCTAAATCACTGTCACAAACTCAGGGCTGTCAGGGAATGAGGCTCCAGCACTCAAACACGGTGTTTGGGAAGGGCACAAACTAAATTTCCCACACTGATCCCTTTCTTTTCCCTCTCCATTTAATTTCAGGGGTAGAGGACTCAGGACAAGAAACAAAAGAAGCCTCTGGGAGTCCACCTGCTGTTTAACATGAACTCCTCTGTCAAAAAGTGCTTCTCAGCACAGGAAATTTAACATGAAGATCATTTCAATGAGAGCAGCTCCAGAAAGGATCAGACTTGCTCCACGTAGCAGTGGACAAAGGGGGGGCTCGTGTTGTTTGCTGCAGAGAGAAATAGCACAAAAGCTTTTTATCTTTTATTCCTGGGCTTCCTTTGAAAATGGATGTAGCAACTAATCCCAGACATGTTGGATGAGGCTGTCAGATCATCCTGGGAACAATTTGTTATTAAGTTCAGTCCTTTACTGAGGCTCAAGAACTTGGTGCAGAAGTTCAGTTAAAAGCATGAAATCCATTATCAGCCTAACTAGGCCAAGGCCAGTCTGGACAGGGCTGGGAGCGACCTGGGCTGCTGGAAGGGGTCCCTGGGGTGGAATGAGGTGAGTTTAAGGTCCCTTCCAACCCAAAGCAGCCCAGCTTTCTGAGGTTCTGTACCCTCCTCACTGAGGTGAGGGATTTGCAGCTCACCCCTTTGCCCTTCTGTATTAAACAAGAGCTGGGCTTTGGCTGGAGGAAAGAAAACAGCCAGGACAAAATCCTCTCTCTCACATGAAACCAGGGCCTTTCCCCTCCCTTCTCCCATTCTCAGTCTGGATTACCCAGTCTGGATTTTGCAGCCATCCCAGTCTCCAGCCTGGCAGGAGCAGGGACAGAGCAGGGCCAGCTCTGCCAACCCCCGGGGCTGAGCACAGCAGGCACAACCCATGCTCTCACAAACTCCCTGTGCCCACTGGTGCTTCCAGAGTGCCCAGCTCAGAGCTGCCCATGAGCAGTGACTCAAATGAGCTCAGTGCCAGCTCCCCTCAGCCTCCCTCAAAGGACTGAATCAGTATGGAAGCTTTGTCAGGCACTGTGAGAACTTGGGGCTCAGATTTGTCTCCAGATAAATTAACATCACCCTTCCCACACAGAGCAGCCTGGGAATTGCACACCCAGCCCAGGAAAGGGCCCTATTCCTCAGGAATTCCCAGCTGGGGGAGCTGCCCATACCCCCCCCACATTTCATAGTCCCACAGAACAATTCCTGAGAGCTCAGGGCACGGCTGGGAGAGGACAGGGAGGTGCCACTGCCCAGGAGCACTGCAGGGCTCTGGGTACCAGAACCACGAGTTTGACCAGGGCAGGGGTAGGGCACTGTCCCTGTGCTGGCACTGCTGGGGCACCTCCAGCCCTGGGGGCAGCTTTGAGCCCTCAGGACAAGAAGGACATTGAGGGGTGGAGGGTGTCCAGGGCAGGGAACGGCTCTGGGGAAGGGTCTGGAGCCCCAGGAGCAGCTGAGGGAGCTGGGAAAGGGGCTCAGCCTGGAGCAAAGGAGGCTCCGGGGGGACCTTGTGGCTCTGCACAACTCCCTGACAGGAGGGGGCAGCCGGGGGGGATTTGGGATCTGATCCCAGGAACAGGGACAGGAGGAGAGGGAACGGCCTCAGGCTGGGCCAGGGCAGGGGGGATATCAGCAGGAATTTCTCCATGGAAACGGTGGCCAGGCCTTGGCAGGGACTGCCCAGGGAGGGTTGGAGTGCCCATCCCTGGACATGTCCAAGGAGGACACCTGGAGGTGGCACTGAGTGCTCTGGGCTGGGGACACGGTGGGGATCGGGCACAGCTTGGACTCGATGGGCCAGGAGGGATTTTCCAGCCCCAGGGATCGTGGGATTAAGAGGAAAACCCAGCAAACAGCAGTTCCCCACGAGTTCATGCCATCCCCACAAGCTGCCGCCCGCCCTTGCAGCTGAGCAGGGCTCCACCAACTGGAACAGCCCTTAATTGGCTCTTGTGCTATCAGCGTTTCAAGGACCCTTCACAGTGCAGTTGCTTGGAGGAGAAAATGCACCTGCGAGTGAGCTGTGTCCTCCTCTCCTCTTCACCTTGACCAGGGTATTTTTAGCTCTATGGACAGACTTGCCAATACTTTCACCTTCAGTTGTTTGCAAGGAAACTTCTGACAGCTCCCGGTAATGAACACTCAGGGTCAAGAGAGGCAGTAGGAAAGAAGTGATGGGCAAGAGCAACTTCCCAGACGGCTTTTTCAGTATTTTCTGCCTTCAGTATTTCAGCTCCCCCTGTTCCCACARATTTCCCTGCTCACAGAGAATTGAGATTGCACTGGATTTCAATACCCAGGGTTTGGCCTGAGGTGTTGCATGAGAGCAGCTGTACTTGCACACCCAGAGCCCCTGAGCACGCTGCCCACGAGCCTCTGCAGCAGCAGGTGCCACTCAGCTCCTCTGAGCCTCACAAATCCACTAATCTGAGTTCATTTGGCAGAGAATGGTCCAACACTGTCATCTGAGAAGGCAGAAAAAAAAATTCAAAGCAAYGTTCATTATTCAAAGGCAGTGTGTGCTGGCTGCTCAGCCCAGCAGGTAAGGTGTCAGCAGCTGGCAGCTCAGCAAACACAGCCTTGGCCTCCATCAGAGCCCAGAGCAGGAACAGCAGGGGCAGACAGGCACTGCTCTCCCTCACTGACATGCTGCTGGCCCAGGGTGCTGCAGGAACCACCACAAAMCTGCCCTGACCCACAGAGCCCGGGCTGACAGTGCCCCAAGAGCACCAGGTCACCGCCCAGCTCAGGGGCAAAGGCTCCCTTGCTGCTCAGACCCCCTGGGCTGGGTCGGCTTCCAAAAAAGGCAGATTTCTCTGGAGCAGGAGGGTGGCAGAGCCACCAAACTCCAGCACTCACGTCTGAATGTCCTTTCTGTGCTGCAGCTTCAAGGGAGACTCTGAGAGCCTCTGCAAAGGGACACGTGGGGATTTGTAACTGCTCCCTGAATTTCCAGCTTTCCCTCAGCAGCCTGTTTCCAGTGTAACCAGGAAATCTTTCATTATTTCATCTCTTCACCTCTCACAGCACCTTATATTCACAGCCTTCACTGTCCCATCTGACACATCCTGTTCTGCTTTTGTCACTGAATTCCTCCCCACGTGGAGAACTGCTCAAAGCTGCTGCACTTCACACACCTGAACGTTCAAACCATGGAAATATGCTCCCAACACACCCAGAAACTACCCTATGGCACATCTGAAAAATTCTCCAATCTTCTATACTCCTGCAGAAAGTAGAAGCAGGCAAGGTGAGAAGGAAGCAAAAAGGTGTGCTAAGTCAGCAAAGTGCAGAAGGAAGGACGAAGCCATTTCCAAGGACACTCCTGAGTGGGTACCTTTTCAGCCAAGGCCTTCAGGCTGTCTAGAAATCTCTGCCAGAAGTCCTTGAAGAGGGGTCTGTCGATCCTCCTCAGGCTCTCCTTGGTGCTGGCGTCCACACTGACATAGAGCTGGGTCACAGGCTCCAGCCTCCTGCAAGGGAAGGGACAAAGGCATTGCTGCTCTCCAGAATCTGCTGCTGCAGTTTGTGCTCTGTTCCCAGAGCAGCAACAGCAACSGGACAGAACTTCCAGGGAAAACCACCAAGGCCCAGTTGTTCATATGTGCTGAGTGACCATCAATAGCAAGGAGTTATCACCTAATTCAGCAAACACCCCCAGGGCTGGGAACTCACCCGCACAGCCCTCACAATTCCATTGCCATTTCCTCACTGCACCAGGACAGGTTTCAACCCAGTGGAGCTGGGACACATTGGGAAAGGCTTCCCAGAGGAAGGGGTTCAGGTGAGGGATGGAAAGGTTCTGCTTCTCCTGGGTGAGATGAACACAGCTCTGCCCTTTCCCCAAGGTCTGTCTGGCCTGGCCCATGGGAAAACAATCCCACTCAACAGAAATGGACACCAGYAGGAACTTCCCCATGGAAAGGGTGGTTAGGCCTTGGCAGGGGCTGCCCAGGGAGGGTTGGAGTCCCCATCCCTGGAGGTGCCCAAGGAACACTGGAGGTGGCACTGAGTGCTCTGGGCTGGGGACAAGGTTGGGATTGGACACTGTTTGGCCTTGATGATCCCAAAAGGCTTTTCCAGCCTCAGGAATTCTGTGACTGCCATCATTCAGCCATAATTCAACCACTTCCTACTGCTGGACWTGCTGAACTCCCCTGACTTGCAGCTGGGGCATCAATGATATTTTTGAAGGGATCTCAAAGCTGTTCAGAAAATAAACCCCCACTCAAACCTCAAAAGTGCTCCCCTCCCCTGCCAAGGCTCTTATTCCACAGAAACCCTGGAGCAAAGCCCTTCTGGTCACACTGTGCTGGTCACAGCACAAYGCTTCTGGAAAGGTCACAGCTCCTGTGCTGTAGGAGGAGTCTGGGTTGGGGATGATCCCCTCCATAAATGCCAGGGGAATAAAGGAGAAGCAGCACCACCACAGTGAAGGAATCATGGAGGGCATTGAGAGCAACCCCAGAAGGAGCTCCCTGAAAATCCCAGAATCCCTGAGGCTGGAAAAGCCCTTCAGGGTCACCAGGCCCAGCTTGTGCCCAATGATGCCCACCTGGTCACCAGCCCAGGGCACTGAGTGCCACATCCAGGCCTTCTCTGGGCACCTCCAGAGCTGGGGACACAGCTCAGGGATGGAGACAAACCCTTCCCAGTGACAGAGGTGACAGGCAGTGAGAATAACACACCCACCCCTCCTGGCAGCTCCCACCCCGGGGGCTTGGAGATGAACAAACATGACCTGGTTTACCACAGAGCTCTGAGCATTTGCGGACAGCATTTGGGGAATGCTTTGTGTGAAGTCTGTAATGAGCAGGCACCAGGCCCAGCTACATTTGGTTTTCAGAGAAGATGAGAAGAAATCAGAAGCTATTGCTGAGCTGCCAAACAGTGCCACCTAAAAATACACTGAGCCCTGGCCGCCCCAAAGGTGACAGAGGGACCAGGACTGGCCAGGATGAGACTCTGTGTGTCCAGAAAAACTCACTTGGACACTCAAGCAACCACCTGAACACATCCTCTCTGTGTCTGTTTAGACAGCAAAATGAAACAACCCAGAACAAACTGAACATTTCAGGTTAAAATTCAGTTTTGTAAACAAGTTTGTCTGGACTGGCAGCCCAAAGCCACAGACTCCAAAATGACCAAATGTTCTGGGCCTAAGTGGATTGAAGTGCTCCATTTCAAGGGATACTGAGCCAAACTCTTCTCTTTACTCAGTGCTGTCTTTGCTTAATTAAAAGGGGCCCCAGTGAAGATGAAGAGGGTGTTTTTCAAAAGAGGGGCTGAGAAAAATCATCTCTTCTCAAACCTAAGGACAGGCAGCAGCCAGACTCCCTGTCAGCGTGGGGCAAATGGAGGAATTCGAATTCCAGAAATCCCCAGGAAGGGATTTCAGCCCCACAGTGCCTCAARGAGGAATGGTGCACAGGGCCCTGCACAGCTGGGAATCGAGCCAGGGTGAGCTGGGGCAGCTTCTGCCAGGGGGGAACAAGGGGAAAGGGCAGCCATGGGTGCAGTGAGAATGAGGACACAGCCCAGGGCTCCTGGGAAACAGCCTGGGGCAGAATTAACAGCAAATCCACCTGAATGGAACCAGGATGGATTTCAGGCTGGATTTCTGAGCCAGCCCAGACAYCTGAGGTGAAATCCAGGAGAGCAAACCCATGGCATTTACACATGGRCTGGGCAGAAATCCTGAGCTGAAATTCTCAGTTGCGCTGTGCCACTCAATCAATAAAGTGAATTCAGGCCGCCAGCCCTGAGGTGCTTCACCAGGCAGAGCCCACAAGGGACAGGGACAGCAACATCAAAAATGAGCATTTGCTTGTGAGCATTAATATGTTTTATTGTTATTATTATTATAATTATTTGAATTAAATGCAAACCCACCCAGGAGGGTTGTTCACAGCCATGGGTCACTGACAGGAGACAGGTAAGGGTTCAGCAGGAGCTCACCTGGTGTGAAAACTCCCTCAGCTCATTGTGATCCTGGGAAGGTGAAGCTGCAACCCAGAGAGGAAGAGGGAACAGGCACAGGGGGCACAGCTGGAGCCTGAACCCAGCAACAGCCCAGGCCCTGCTCCTCTYTCCCAGAAAGGGGTGGGAAGGACCTTAAAGCCCCCCCTGCCATGGCAGGGACACCTCCCGCTGTCCCAGGCTGCTCCCAGCCCCAATGTCCAGCCTGGCCTTGGRCACTGCCAGGGATCCAGGGGCAGCCACAGCTGCTCTGGGCACCCTGTGCCAGGGCCTYCCCACCCTCACAGGGAGGAATTCCTTCCCAATAGCCCATCCATCCCTGCACTCTGACAGGGGAGCCATTCCCTGTGTCCTGTCTCTCGCCCCCAGTTCCTCTCCAGCTCTCCTGCACCAGAGGTCACCCTGACTGTTTCAGGACGAACTTTTTGACTCCAGTTCCTCTGCTGACAGCACAGAAGTGAGCTGGGTGCCTACTTCAGTTCCCATATTAAGCAAGTCATCTGCTTTGATGAGCCAAAGATCAGTTGCAATTTTTAAGAYAGCAAGACTAGCATTTTATYCCTTTCTTTTTTGTTTCTTTTTAAAAAGATTCAGCAGATCCGAAAAGTGCAGCTTCAAAATAGTGTGTGCTCTCTTTTTAGACTGCTATATTTAGGGAAGAGCAATTTCTATCTATCAGGCACATAATACATGACTTAAAGTAACTTGATTACACAATTATTCAATCATTTGGAATGCCTTTGTAGTGTATAATTACTCAGTCCCAAATTGCCTGCCCTCCCCGCTCAGTGGCGGATTCAGAGCACGAGAAGGGGCGCAGAGGAAGCTCTCCCAGGAGCACTGAGGAGTGAGAGGAGTGAGCTTGAATGAGCTGAGGGACACAGCAAGGCCACCCTGCACGCTGCTCCCACAGCTCCAGGCTGGGCTCTGCTGCTGTTTGGAACTGCTGCAATTCTGAGGGGCTCCCAAACCCCCCAGGGGCTGCATTTACCCACACGCTGCACTGCTTCAGAGTTTGCTAACAGCAGCCTGGATGCTCCAAAACATCACAAAAAGGGATCCTTTACAGTTGTAAAAACTCTGAAAGAGTTCATTAAAATGTTCCAAAACATCACAAAAAGGGGATCCTTTACTGTTGTAAAGACTCTGAAAGAGTTAATGAAAATATTCACAAAAAGGGACCCTTTACAGTTGTAAGGACTCTGAAATAGTTCAAGAAGATATTTGGAAGATTTCTCTCAAGTYCCTGGGAGGGAGGTGAACCATCCTGCTCTGCTGATGAACACGTGCTCGTCACCTCTCCTCATGCTGCTGGAGCTGCTGGGCTGGGCAGGGTCTTGGGCTGAGCCTTGAGAGCTGCTCCTCTGCACTCACAGCAGGGACCAGCCCCACAGGGCACCCTCGGAGCTCAGCACCCTGCTCTGGCTGGCAGGAGGACAGCAGTGATCCCAAACTGCAGCTCACCCTCTGCTCCCCTCCTGTCAGACCTTCTCAGGTGCCCCACTCCATCCTCTCCACTTCCACAAGTGATCAGTTTGTTTTAGATATGAAAAAGAACATCAAAGTGGGGGGAGGGAGAAAGAGATGAGAAGGAACAGGAGCAGACTGAGGTTAAAATCAAACACGAGGGGGGTTTTTCAGCGCTCATGCAGAGTGGCTCTGAGAGGACACTGAACAGGATCAGGACATAGCTCAGCACCCCAGAGATTCAGTGGGAGCTCARCAGGAATTCCCTGCAGCTCTTACCTGATCTCCTCAGGGAACTGGGCGTTGGTGACCAGGAAGGTGGAGATGTCATGCTGGTGCAGCAGCCTGACGAAGCGGTTGATCTGGGGGTACATGATGGGCTCCCCCACCAGGGACAGGGCGCAGTGCTTCACCCTCAGGGCTTCCTCCAGGCGAGCTGCCTTCACTCCTGACACACCTGGACAGGGAGAACAGCCTTAGATCAGCCATGGCTGGGGYCCTGAGCRGCCTGGRCTGGAGGAAGGTAGCCCAGGGGTTACAACAAGGTGAGCTTCAAGGTCCCTTCTAAACCAAATCCTTCTGTGGTTCTGTAACAAATCCCCCTCCCAAACATCTGCAGTCAGAACACACCCTGGCACCAGGAGGGTCCCAGAGCCCTCCARAGGCACAGGGGACACCAAGCCACAGCCAGGACCTGGGGAGCAGCTCCCCAGCACTCCTGGAACAGCAACCCTGGAACAGCAACCCCAGATTCCCAGGCTGGCTGTGCCTTGTGTGCTGCTAAGAACAATTTGCTGAGAACACCTGAGCCAGGCTGAAACACCTGAGCCAGGCTTAAATATCTGCACCAGGCTTAAACATCTGAGCCAGGCTGAAACATCTGAGCCAAAATGAAACACCCGAGCCAGGCTCAAACACCTAAGCCAAAATGAAACACCTGAGCCAGGCTCAAACACCTGAGCCAGGCTCAAACATCTGAGCCAGGCTGAAACACCTAAGCCAAAATTAAACACCTGAGCCAGGCTCAAACACCTGAACCAAAACGAAACACCTGAGCCAGGCTGAAACATCTGAGCCAGGCTGAAACACCTGAGCCAGGCTGAAACGTCTCAGCCAAACTTAAATACCTCAGCAGAGATTAAACATCTGAGCTGAGCTTAAACACCTGAGTCAGGCTGAAACACCTGAGCCAAGCTTAAATACCTGAGTAGAAATGAAACACCAGAGCCAAAATGAAACTCCTGAGCCAAGCTTTCCCCTRCTGAGACCTCAGGGATGCTGCTGCCTGCTGAGACACCAACACCCAGGCAGGCTACACCACTTTGAGCAGGAGGCTCAGAGCAGAAGCCCAGGGCATGGCTGTGTCACTGCCAGTCCCCATGGGCCCCAGGAGGAGCAGCTCTCGCAGGGCTGAGTTCAGCTCCCCAGGCAGAGCTGGCACTGAACACAGACAGGCACACACAGAATGTGCAGCCCACAGAGGATGTGCTCAGATGAAAACACAGCCCCTGATGCAGTCCAGAGCAGCCAGAGACCTTTCAGGAGGATGAGGAAAATACAGGCAGCTCAAATGCAGCAGCCATGTGCAAACAGCACCTGAGTCCCATCCCTGACGCCCTGGGAGCAGGGCAGGTGGAGGCTCCTCCAGCCCACCCACACCTGACCAGGTGCTCAGGACCCCGATGAAATCAGCTGCCTCCAAACAAGCTCCTGCTCCAGATCTGTCACTTCACATTTCCCTGACGCGCCTTGATGTATTTGAATCTTATCCGAGGCTTTGGATTGGGGGTTGGTCTGCTTTAAAGATTAAAAACAAAGCCTGGAGTGTGAATCCAGGTCCTCAGCTCCCCTCGTGTTGCCTTGACGCTGCAGTACAGGAAATCACAGCTCTGCTGCACAGCCCAGATAAAAGAGGTGCTGGAGGATGTTGCTCCAGCCTCACATAGCAAAGCTGGTTTGGAAGCAGAGCAGGGCTCAGTGCATTTTAAAGCAGCCAGGCTGGGTCCTGAGGAAGTGACAGGACTAATGGTTATTCCATAGGAACCTGACAGCACTAAATGAGAGCTTTATTGGAGAAGAAAGCAGCATCTCCAGCACATGCTGAGATTAAAGAACCAACTCTCATATTCCTAAAACTACTGCAGGAGTTTGGGAATGAATTAATTTCTCTCTCTCAGCACCTTGCACCTGCACTCTCACCATTACCTTGCCAGCTCTGTGAGCACAGAACAAAACCCCAACAACCCGTAAAGTCTGAAAGAACTTTCCCAGACGCTTCACACCAAAGCTGCACATCTGGCCCGAGGAGGGAGAGGTTTTGTAAACAACCAYGTGAGCACACGAATCAGCACCAGGCAGGGACAAAGTGCCCAGGATTGGTGGCATTCCACGAGGGCATGGACTGCCCTGAATCCCTATGGCTCTGCTCCTGCCATCAGCTCCCAGCAGAGCACAGCCCCCTGGAAAAGCTGATTGCAGCTGCTCTCCTGCTGCTCCAGTTAACCTGGGAAAAGATAGCAGCACCTGGCACACCCCTGGAGAGGCTGGGGCTGACTCTGGGTACCTCTTGGAAGGACCTGAGCAGCACCACAAGAGCCTGGGGGGATGAGGGAGCTGCTCCATCCATGTTTATCCATGGATGCTCCAAGGATTTCCTAGGACAGTTCACGCACTCCTGTTTGRTTTTTCCCTGTATTATCAGACTCCACTCTCCCCTCTCTGAGTTATGTTTCCATCCCGTGCGTGCCCTTTGCAAGGGCACAGAGATTTACAAGTGACTCCCAGAATAATGCATCCATCAAATAAAGTTCCCACCTTGGCTCCCCATCAGCAAGGGGCCTCTCCATCAGTTACTCTAACAGGGAATTATGGCACTTTAATGTCTGAGCTCTCCAAACTCAGCACAAACGATGGCAACACTAAAGCAGAAGATGATTTATCATCACCCACAGGCACCCGCAGCTCCCTCAGCACTGCTGCTGCTCCAGCCCCTTCCCCAGCTCGTCCCTGCCCTGGACATGCAGCTCTATTCCAGGAGCTCCAGCAGCCTGATGGAGGTGCCCAAACCTRCCCCAGGCCTGGAGGTGCCCCAGCAGTGCCAGCACAGGGGACAGAGCATGGTCACAACCTTCATTCACCACCCACAGCAGTCTGGGCCACCTCAGTGCTCAAGCAGGCAGTTCCTGGGGTTCTGCTGTTTTTTTTTCTTTAAAAATCAACCCCAATAAATGCCCTGTTCTCTGTGCTGGGTTGGCTGCAGGAGCCAGCTCTGTTCCTGCTCCAGGCAGCTCCAGCCCTGGCGCTGCACACTGGGGACTCTGGTCCTGCTGGAGCTGAACCCTTCCCTGTCCCTGGCCCTGTCCCTGTCTCTTCCCCTGTCCCAGTCCCTTCCCCTGTCCCTGTCCCTTCTCCTGTCCCCATCCCCGTCCCTGTCCTTGTCCCTGTCCCTGCCCCTATCCCTTCCCCGCTCCTGTCTCTTCTCCTGTCCTCAACCCTGTCCCCGTCCCTGTCCCTTTCCCCATCCCTGTCCTTGTCCCTGTCCCTTCCCCTGTCCCCTTCCCTGTCCCTGTCCCTTCCCCGGTCCCTTCCCCAGCTCACTCACATTGCTCCTACTCCATTTTGCTGCCACTGTAACAGTATTTCTCCCCACACCTCAGGGCAGAGCGATGTAAAATTCACCACATGGAACAGGAGCTCCTGGGCTTTTTCTCACCAATTTTTCTTCTCCTTAATAAACCTTGGACTCAAAGCACCCAGGACAGGAACCTTGCCATCTATCACTCTGGAAAAGCCAACCAGCCTTTCTTTTCCCACTTTGCAGCAGAGTTCCAGTCCAGAGCTTTTCTTTTTCTTCCTTTCACAGTTCAAGGTCAGGGGTAACTGTGCTCAGGATGCACAGGCACGTTTCAGTAATATTTATGAATTTGTTTCATGGAAAACAGACTCCAAAAAGAGAGAAGTGGGATGTCCTGGCASGCCTCCTGCCTTCAGCAGCATTTCAGACACAGAGAATTCCATCCATAATCATTGCCTCTCCTCAGCCCTTTGTGCAGACAGCAGGGTAAGGGAAGGAGAAGGTCATTCCTCAGTCCAGGGCTTCACCCCAAAGAGCTGAAAGCCTCCAGGGCTGGAGGGTCCCCACCTCTGCAGGCCCCACCCTGGCTCAACAATCTCACTTTGATGTGTGACTTGACCCTCCCAAAYAGAAACCACTCCTGCTGTTCTGGGGACAGGGCCAGCAGGCAGATGGGACCCTGAGCACAGTGGGACCTGGGGTTATGGAGCTCCTGCTGAGCCTCCCACTGCTCCCAGTCACAGAATGGTGAAAGCTGGGAAAAACCTCCAACATAATCCAAACACTGCCCCAGCACTTCCCAGGCCACCATTGGCCCCTGTCCCCAAGTGCCACATCCACATGTGTTTCGAACACATCAGGGATGGGAACTCCACCACTGCCCTGAGCAGCTGTGTCAGGGCCTGACCACCCTTACCAGGAAGAATTTTCCCCAATAWCCCCCCTGCCCCTCCCCTGGCCCAGCCTGAGGCCGTTCCCTCTCCTCCTGTCCCTGTTCCCTGGAGCAGAACCCGACCCCCCCGGCTGCCCCTCCTGTCAGGGAGTTGTGCAGAGCCACAAGGTCCCCCCTGAGCCTCCTTTGCTCCAGGCTGAGCCCCTTTCCCAGCTCCTTCAACCGCTCCTGGGGCTCCATTCCCTTCCATCCATTTATTGGCTCACCAGTGGTGTTTCTCCAGGTGCCCCTGAGGTAAAGCCCTGCCCTGAGTGCTGCTGTCCCCTCCCCAAATTCCCCTGCAGAGCTGCTGAGGTGTTTCAGTGCCCCCATCCCCGGGGCAGGTGATGTTTCACTCAGTGCCAAAGAGACCCCAGTGAGGYTCCCTGGAGCTCTGAACGTGCCAGKTGACCCAARGCAGCCACCTGAGGAGCAGAACGCCCATGAGGCCCCAGCCTGAGCTGTTTTTGCCCCATTATCCAAGGGCAGGGATGGAGACAGAGCAGCTCTGCTCTGCTGGCAGAAGGGGGTTGTGCCTGGCACACCCTGGAMCCACTGGGCTCTCTTTGAGCCCAGCCAAGCCAAACCATCAGGTTCCCCAAATGACAGCCGAGGCCAGGGCTCATCTGGCACGTTTTATGGCTGCTCCATTCCATTCCTGCTGCCCCCAGGCAGCTGGGCAGAGCAGAGCCCTGGAGCTGTCCTGCCAAGCTGGCCRGCTCTGCCAGCACACACAGCGGGCCTTGGCAGAGGAACCAAAACCATCACATTTGGGAAATAAATCCCCAGCCCTCTCTGCAGGTATAGACACAGAACAAACCAGTATCAAACTCCCAGAGAATTCTGCAGGAAGCAAAGTGCAGAACTTTCCAAAGGAGCTGTGTAACTGCAGATGTACTGAATAATTCCTGAAAACCAAAGTCCCCTGGCTGCTCTGTTTAATTATTGATGAGCAGTTGCAGGGCAAACACAAAGCTGGGTATTAGGGCTGGCAGYGTTTCCTACCAGGCTGATTGCTTTTGCTTTCTACCTGCCCTCACCTTGCCACAGCAGCCAGGGATCCTCATCACCCAAGGGRCTCTAAGCACTGTGGAAGGCTCTGTGCACACCACGGGAAGGGATTAGACAAATRCCAGGAGGCACCAGAGTCAACTCCACTCGATTCCCCCACGCAGCAGCAGCCACTCGGGCTGAGACTCATTTCAGGGCACATTAAATGTGCCCCAGAAGTTTCTTCTCCCCTGTTTTGTGATATCCCAACTCTCAGACCCCCTTCCCAAAGGACCAGAATGTTCTCAGCTGTGTGTTGAARATGCCACTGTTGGTTATTCTGTAAGAGTGGGGTCAGAGCAGGAGTTACCTTTGAACTGCCTGATCATGTTCTGGTGCTTCTCCAAGGCCTCCTGCAGGATCAGCTCAGGCTGGTCCATCTTCCAGCGCCACTCGGTGCCCACGGGGTTCGTGTGGTGCCTGAGGGAACAGGGACTATCACTCAGTGTCACTTGGAACCCCTGCAGAACTCACCTCCCCCTGGGCCCTTCAGTACCAATGAGATTAAAAACAACGAGGAATTCCCAGAGAGCTCCTGCTGCTGCCCCAACCCTTGGCTGGCACCTCTGAACACCACTCACACCTCCCTCCTGCCAGCCTCTGCTCTCCCAGGAGGGAGAAGGGACCTTGTGGACAATATTAAACTTTATACACCCATCCTGAACAACTACTGAAAGGTTTCTAAGCTAAAATAATGTCTGTAAAAACCTCTATAAAGGCAGGGAAATGGCTTCTGCCCACAGCTGCGCGAAGCTTTGCACAAGGGAAGTCCCAGGACACCTTTAGTTCCATTTCAAAGGTACCAAGCACCATCCTGGGGACAGGATTTGTTTCTAACGTGGCCTTTGTGAGGTGCTCTGGTACTGGCACAGACCAGGGCAGACTCCACCAAACTCCCTGGAGAGAGCAGGAACCTGCACTGTGCCAGGGATGCACTGCTGGTGGATCTGGTCATCTCCCACATTTCAATCCCTCTGAGCCGAGTGATTGCAGGGGAAAAGCCATGGATCTTCCATCCAACAAACAGCTCAGGTCACACTGGGCTGGGAAGCCAACCTTGCCTAGAAAGGATCACTGTCACCACATTTTGTTTTCTTGAAAAACAGCAAAAGCCAGCCCAGGTAAATCCACCCAAACACTTGGAAAACCCATGGAGTTCCTCCCCATTTCCTAATTTATTACCATGGGAGCATCATTCAGCCCTTAAATAGCATTTTCAGGAAGTCAATGAATTTCTGTGCTTTCACCTCCTCATTCCCCCTCCATCCCAAAATACAAAAGTCCCTTCACTGTTCCCTACCAATCCCACTGCAGCCCAGAGAACAATCCATTCAGAGCAGCTCWTTGTGCAGGGTCTTCCACAAAAGCTTGTGGATGAACACAGCTCTGGACAGGAAAATAAAACCAAGGCAAATGCGCTGCTGACTCTCAGCTTTCCAGCCAGGTGACCTCTGCTCGCTGCTCCCCTCTCCATCACCCCTGGCACTCAGCCCTGGGGACAACTGAAGGTACCAGCTGCATTCAGCCTTTCAAGCTCCAGGGGATTGGGACATGACCCCAGCATTCACCTGGGAGAGAAGGGACAGGGAAGCACCGTCTCAGGGTGAAGGGGCCGGTCCAGTCCTTACTGGGGACAAGGAAAAGGCTCCCACAGACCCCTGGACAAGGGGAAATGGATTCCAACCAAAAGAGGGTAGGTTTGGGTTGGATATCAGGAAAAAAAAATCCTCCCTGTGAAGGTGGGAAGGCCYTGGCACAGGGTGCCCAGAGCAGCTGTGGCTGCCCCTGGATCCCTGGCAGTGCCCAAGGCCAGGCTGGACATTGGGGCTTGGAGCARCCTGGGACAGTGGGAGGTGTCCCTGCCATGGGAGTGGGATGGGATGAGCTTTAAGGTCCCTTTCAAYCCAAGCCAGTCTGGGATTCTGGGATTGTCCAAGTGAGGAACAACCTGCAGCTGCACCCTCTGACAGTGCTAAAACCAACTTCAAACCCAGGCTCAATGGAATCAGCCTTTTGACCCAAACATTGCTTCACCACTTCAAGAGCAAAGATTCAAACAGTACTCTCAAACTTTACCACCTTAAGGATCCTTCAAGCCAAARCAGCTTTTTGAAATTCCCCTTTATTTCCCCATCTGGCAACATGGAAAGTTTCCTGAATGTCAGCTATAAAAGGCATTTACAAAACCCTTACATGTTTAACTGCAAAACTTGTACCTTGGATATTTAATAGGGCCAGCTGGCAGGAAATCAATAGGCTCTGGGTGCACCCTGGACAGCTATTAGTGTCCAACAGGCCCTGCATTTCTAACACATCCAACTGGTTAATAAACACACCAGGTCATGTCCACAGGGCTGCTGATTTGGCAAAAAGAAGGCTYTCTGCACAGAGGAGGATAGGAACTAATGGCTCAGGAGAGAGGATAAAGAAGCAATGCTTTGTGGCTCATGGGGCTGTTCCCCAGTCCCCATCACAGACAGAATTCCAGTGTCACCTTCCCACTGYCCCCAGGCTCTGTGACCCTCCCATCACCCACCTACCCAGCTACACCAGTTTTGAGCAGGGAACTGTGTTGGGGATTCCTTCCTCCCTTCCCAAAATAACACAAGGAAAATGAAAGCTCACACACACCAAACCCACTCACACCATAAAAACCTTGATTTTAGCAGGGATTCCAGGTGTGAAACAGGTTTGGGCTGCTCCTTCAGGGATACTTCAGTATCACAGCCYCCTCAGACTGCACAGAACATGCTGGAAGCTCCCGTTGGCTCCTCTGGAACCTCCCCCGGCCACCCAGCCTGCCTCCACGCAGCCCCACCTGCAGTCTCAGCAGATCTCTGATCTACCAGGACCATGGGACAACATTCCCTGTGTCCCTGGTAGGACATTAGACCTTTGTGAAGGTGCAGCTCCCCAGGGGCTGTGATCTGCCTCCCCACTCACTTGGGGACCATTTCAATAAATCATTGCTTCACACATTCCTCAAATGGTTACTGAGCAGTTCTGAGGGCAGATGCAGCTCAGATATAAAGGATCATTTCCACAGTGATCAGCTGAGCCAGGGTGATGCTGCTGGGGAGCAGCAAGGGGACGAAGTGTTGGTGGCAGTGACATCAAAGGACAGAGCACATCGTTCCCAGGGAGGGCAGGAGCAGAATAAAAATAGGAAGAGTCCAAGAAGCAGGCTCAGGGAACCCTGAGARGCAGCAGGGGAGGTCCCAGAGGAGAAGGGCTTCAGGGAAAAKAAGCTGAGGAGAACTGGCACTTTTGAAAGCTCAATTAAGGCAGAAGCACAAACTGCAGCAATAAAAGGCAAAGACAGAACAAAATCAATCTGCTCTTGYGCAGCCTTGTGAGCCTGCAGAGCAGAGRAGRAGCACAAACACAGGGGYATCAGCAGAAAGGGGAAGGGAAGAGAGCAGACATAACCAGGAAAGGACACAGCAAAGAGATCCACAGGATTTTCCCTGGAGTGACGAGAGGAGGAGGAGGAGAGAGACCTCAAAAAGCTTTGATGCTCCTGCTGTACAACGTGAAACCTGTTCATTCTGCTCCTCCTGAAAGAGCCCAGGTTGCGCTGGGAAGGGACCAGGACAGAGACACTGAATGGGAAGGAAATGTTTTCCCTGGGATGGGTAAAGACACCCTGGAGCGGGCCAGACAAGATCAGAGGGGCCAGGGGTGGCTTAGACTGGAATTAAGGGAAACTTCTTCAAGGAAAGGGTGGTCACGGGGCAGCGGTGGAGTGACCACCTCTGGAGGGGTTAAACATCCTTKAYGACACRGTCTGGTGRCCTTGGCARTGCTGGGRGAACAACRGGACTCAAGGATCTCAGAGGGCTTTTCCARCCTCAAAGATTYTGTGRYTCTCTTCCAATKCATGCTTTTGAAACCTTAAAGATGGAAGATGCCCCACACTGAAAATCTCCATCCCAGCTCTGCAAGATGCTCTTCTTTTAAGAGCAATCTCCTGAAAGGCAGGGGATGCTTGGTGTCCTGTGCTTGTGTCCATCCCATCCCATCGCACCCCAGCTTCCCAGACTATTCCAAAGCTCCACTGGATGTCAAAATGCACAAATTCACTTTCAATCCCACACACAAACGTTTTCTCCCAGAAATGCCTCAGATGACAGAGCTGGCAGAGCAGCACACAAAGCACCAATTCTCCTTTTTTAGCACTTTTTTTTTTTAGCGAGGGCATGACCTGGGTACGTTCTCTGATGTCCCTCAGCCCATCTATTGGGCTATTTTGAGAGCTCCTGGCAGACAGACATGCCCAAAATGCAACARAGCAGAGAAGAATCCAATGTGAAGGATGAACCCTGGTCACATCAGATCCCTCCTGGAAACAAACCCATAACCAAACTGAAACCCTGAAAAAAAAGAGCAGCAGCTGAGCAGAACCAGGGCTGGTGGCTGGACATGCACAGAACCTCTCTGAGCTTCCAGGTGTCACAAAGCTGCAGCGTCCACTCCTTTGAGATCAATACTTCCCAACTCCATGAAGAATTTACCCTCTGGAATCCAGTTAGTTACTCAGAAGAAGCTTTTCTTTTCATCTGTTTGCAGTTTCTTCTCAATTTTTAAAGACCATATGTACCTCTCCTGCGAGAGATTATGCATTTTTAATCTCTGCATTTTGCAGGACTGACTGTGATGCCTGGCTTTTGGCCACCCACTGATTTAGTGCCTGAACACAACTTCAGCTGCTGTCTACAAGCAAAACCTSAACTCTTCGAGCACAGGTATAAACATTAAAGTTACGGCAGAAGAAATATGAGCCAATTTCTTCTCAAGATATTTCACTCTGTTTGGTTTGCCTTCTCCTCAGATGCAAAAGTATTAAGCCCTATTAATTCAAATCTTATTTAGCTGCTCCATCTCTCCACAGTAATTGATTGGGCTTTGGACAYTGAGCCAAGAACCCTCATCAGATCAGGTTTGCGTGGTGCCGGCGCTGCAGGGAGGTGTCACAGAGCTTCGAACTCACACTTGCTCTAATTGATTAAAGGATTTGGTCACTTGCACCTTTCCATTTAGGCAATTAAGCTGCAGAGGCACAGCCCAGAGAGAGCAGCCCCAGAGGGAGCAGGGCTGGGGAGTGGCAGACTCCCTGGGAGGACAGGACCATGGCAGGGGAGGGTGCAGTAACTGAGGCCTGGGGTGCTCCCCTCTCTGCTTTTGGTAGAACAGCCTCGGTGCTGCCATGGGGGAACACCAAAAAATCCATCTTGGAGAGTCAGGGAATGTCCTGGGCTGGAAGGGACTCACAGGGATCATTGATCCAGCCCCTGTCCCTGCCCAAACCCCACAACAATCCCCCCTGTGCATCCCTGGCAGCGCTGTCCAAACGCTCCTGGAGCTCTGGCAGCCTCGGGGCCAGGACCATTCCCTGGGGAGCCTGGGCAGTGCCAGCACCCTCTGGGGACAGAAGAACCTTCCCCTGAGATCCAACCTAAACTCTCCCTGGCACAGCTCCAGCCATTCCCATCTCCCAATCTGCACTTCCAGCCCTCCAAAAAAAGCTGTCTCATAATCCTGCATCCCCAGCCTCTCTGAGGGGACAGGCAGGGAAGCAGGAGCCAGTGAGGCAGCTGTGACAGCTCCCAGGGAYGTTCTGCTTCCAGGGACAGGAGGAGAAGRAAGGGGTCCAGTGCAGAGKGAAGCCCATCTGTGACAATAAGSCCTGATTTTCTGAGGGTGTTTGRATAYTGGCTCCACCCAGGAGCTTRTGGAAGGTGTCCTGCCCACAGCAGGGGMTGGAACTGATGCCCTTTGGGGCCCCAACCCAAACCATTCCATGATTACTGTTTTGGGGCCAAAACGTGTCAGTCAGGACCAGCCAACTCCACAGACATCCAGCTCCCAGGGAAAGCAGCTGAACTGCAGCACTCCCTGCCAAAGTGAGGAAGAGAAAATAAACAGAAAATAAACCCTTGGGCTTTCCTTCAGGGATCCAGGGAGAGCTTAGTGGTTGWGCACTTGGAAACACTGGCAGAGTCTACAAACGTCTAAATCCTGAAAGAAGAGATCAAGCAGGAAGAATCTAAAAGCCTGATCTGCAGGGCAGCGTGCAGAGCTGCATGAGGAGCCAGCCCAAAACCTGCACGGGAAACATTCTGCCAGCAGCACATCAGAACTGGGGCCTCACGTGTCTGCAGGGACTGCCCTGCTCATCCTGAACAACCTGCAAGGGCTGGGGGGCTCAAACCAGGTGCACAGACAGCCCTGGCTGCAGGGATTGGAGCCGGGCTGGCAGAGGATCAGCAGGGCTGGGGGTGGGATGGAGGATTCCTCTCACAGCCACATGAAGGCACAAGGGTGGAACAGTAACCAGAGAAACCTTTCTTCAGCACTACTTCTGGCTTAAGCCAAGCTTAAGGTCCCAGGACGAGCCTCAAACTGAGTCTTGCATCTCCCATTTACACTTTCCAGTTTCCAGAGGAAACCTGAAGATAGCCAGGTGCATCCATGTGGGAGAGTTCAACACCTGCTCACCCACAGGAGGGAAATCAATCAATCAAACAATCAATCAATCAATCAATCAATCAATCAATCAATCAATCAATCAATCAATCACAAAGCCTCTGAGCTTAGTGCCTTGGGAGCTGTACCTTTGCATCAGCCTGTAGCCATCAGGAAAATCTGCACTGGAGCACTCACTGTCACCAGGCTGCTGCTGCCAGATCCCTCTGAAGTGACAGGTGACAGTGCCAGGATGATGAGTTAGAGACATGTGAACAGTGCCAGCTCCTCTGTGTCTCTGCACTAATGGACTGATCTATCAATTAYTGATCAATCTGTACTCTCCTATTTATCAGTTCCTGCCCTCCCAGGTCACACCTGCTGGCCTTGCCTGACCCAGCCCATTCCACACCCAGGCTGCCAGCAAATCCTGAACCAAGACACCTGGAAGAGAAACTGGGAAATGCCCTGGGGAGCAACACTGGGGACAAAGCCCCTCATACTGTGTTCTGTTTGGCTGTTTGGGATGTACCTCGGGTGTGGGGACAGGGGGACCAGCACAGGCACAGCCGTGTCCCTCCTGGCACAGGCATGGCCATGTCCTGTCTCCCTCCCAGCACACACGTGGCTGTGTCCCATGTCCCTCCTGGCACAGGCATGGCCATGTCCCTCCCAGCGTGAGCCACTGCAGGACTCAGTGCAGCAGCAGGAGCTGCCACGTCGGTAACAGCCACAAGCAGAAGGTTCTCATCCTCAGGCACTGCCCTGCATGTGAAATGTGCCATTTGCTCCCTCCCTGCCAGCCAGGAGGGGAGGAAAGCCCACCCAGGGCACCAATCAGCCCTTTGGAACAGACTTCCAAAGGCAAACTGTACGGGATGCCCAGGACACGGCTCCCAAGTGCCTCAGAGCAGTCTTTGAACTGTTTTTGTGAAATACCTGCATCACTGACACCTGAACACTCTGAAAGGGGCACTCAAGAGGAACATGGCTGGGTTTGAAGGAAATATTGTCACAGAATCATGGAATGGTTTGGGTGGAAGGGACCTTCAAGCCCATCTCACCCCACCCCCTGCCATGGCAGGGACACTCAGAGAATGGTGACGCCCCAGGCTGCTCAGGGATGGCTCCTGGAACGCTGGATGGAATCCCCAGCCTGGGGTGGGTCCTAGAGGAAGCACAGCTCCCACGGGATGATTCAGCAGGGTGGGAGRGAAACAAAGGAGCTCAAAGCAAAGCCTCCCTGTTCTCCCACTGCAGGCACTCTCCGGTCACTGCTGCCATTTGTGCTGAGCCTCAGCCTCTCCCCAGTGCCACCCTGCACTCCCCCAGCCTGGCACAAACCTCCCCTGGCAGCCCAGGGGGAGGCAGTGAGCAGTGCCAGAGCAGTTTGGATCCAGCACAGCTCATTTCCTTCAGGGAACAACYGCAGCCATTGCTCTGAGAAAAGGGGACATCTTCCTGACCAAAATGGGAAGGCATTGAGCCGAGGACAGATTGTCCAGCCTGGAGCAAAGGGGTATCAGGGAAAACCTTGTGGCTCTGCATAACTCCCTGACAGGACGGGGCAGCCAGGGGGGTCGGGCTCTGCTCCCAGGGAACAGGGACAGGAGGAGAGGGAACGGCCTCMGGCTGGGCCAGGGCAGKGGGGACATCAGCAGAAATTTCCCCATGGAAAGGGTGGCCAGGCYTTGGCAGGGGCTGCCCAGGGAGGGCTGGAGTCCCCATCYCCAAGGAGCACCTGSAGGTGGCACTGAGTGCTCTGGGCTGGGGACAAGGTTGGGACTGGGCACAGCTGGGACTYGMYGATCCTGGAGGGCTTTTCCAACCCCAGARAYTYCRGGATTTCTCWACTGCTRTTTTGGGAAGGCAGAACTTCCTGAGCSATCACTGCTCACTTGTTTAGAGCAGTGGAACCAGAGGGAGGGTGATGTCAACCATGGTGCAAACAATGATAAAAACAATGGCGCCAACAATGATACCAACCATGGTGAGATGATACCAACAATGGTGCAAACAATGATATCAGCCATGGTGCAATGATACCAACCATGGTGCAAACAATGATACCAACCATGGTGCAAACAATATACCAACAATGGTTCCAAAGGCCCTCCCAGCCCACTGCTCCTCATCGTGTCCCCCCGAGCCCCCAGACCCTGCCAGTGCCTAGGGCTGCCTCACCTCCAGCAGAACACACACTTGTTGGCACAGGCCAGGCTGGGGGTGGCCTCCATGCAGCGGTGGCTCTCGATGCCATAGAAGGTGTGCTTGTAACAGCCCCCACGGCCCCGAAGCATCGCCTGGGGGACAGAGACATGGGCGAGTCAGGGACACAGCTGGGACGCGGTTGGGACACACAGATATACACAGAGACATGGGCGAGTCAGGGACACGGCTGGGACACACAGATACACCAGGAGAGTCAGAAACCCAGGTGGGACCAAGCTTGGTGCCACCTGCCCCAAGAAATTCCCAGCTCAGGATGAAATGTGACTCTTTATCTGCAGCAAAACTGCATGTAGGAGGCCAAAGTCAGCACTGTTAGAGAAGAAAGAACTTTCAGCCCCTCAATCGCTCATGTGTCAGAGCCCAGCACAACAATGTGCTCTCCTGGAGCTTTTCAGTCAGCCCAGGAAATGCAGGTGAAGCCTCTCAAGCTGCAGGGAGCATTCCTGGAAAAGCTCACTCAGGAGTAACAAGGATCATTTCAGGGCTGTCCTACTCAACACTCCATTCTCTTCATTTATCTGGCAGAGTACTGCTTGCAGCTCTAAATTAAATAAATGCCCTGACCTTATAAACCCTCATTGACAGGCAGCAGTGGCTCCAGCAGGMGGCTGCACTTCCCCTCTTAGCACAGCCCCAGAGGTTTCTCAACATGATCCCTCTCTGGGTTAYCATGCAAGCTGCCTGCAGGAGTGGCTGGCTATCATTAGCACAGTTAAACAATAATAAATGAGAAAGAAACTTTAYCACTCTCCAGAGAAAATCTGAAATACAACACAGCAGCTTTTTATCTGCCTCCCTCTTCCTGGAGAGTCCTGGTGATCCAAGAGAAAGGAGCAGAAGAGAAAAACCTACAGGTAATCTCTAGCTGGCTGTACAGGTGGAAGATTAAATGACATGGAAAATGCTGTTTATTCTACTCATTCCTCAAAYGACAGAGACTTTGGGAGATTCACAAATTCCAGGATAACAAGTTATATTTGGTTTTTCATAAGGCCAACAGACTCTTCCTAAAATGTACAGGATTTCTGCTTTTTCCCAGAATTTGACAGAACCCAATCTTTTCCATCTGAGGCATCTCTCTGAAACTCTGCTCCATGCTAATCCTACCAGCCCTGTTCCTGCTTCCCTCCAATACAAATCTCCACAAAGGCTCCTGAACACTCACACATGGGTGAGAACCTGAGGCAGAGCCACTGCCTGCAACCAATTTCAGCTCCATTTAGAGGAAGACTTTACATTCAATTCYTGCTTAAGCTAAAAATAGAGTGGGCCTATCTAAGCACACAGAGCTGCTATTTATTTTGTGAAATGGCTTTACAGTGCTGCACTGAAGTCTGGGTTTTCACAAAAATGGGTTCTCTGGCTTTCTCAGTCACAACATCAATGTTTGGCAAGTTTTCCTTTAAACATTTTGTGATAATGTCTGACACTAAAAATGATACAAGAGAGAAATGGTTGTAGGAGTGACCAGCAGTGGGATCAAAGCATCCCACAAGCATTCCTGATAGCCCAGGGTTTGCTCTTGATGCTGCTCAGGAGAGCAGGGCTCTTGATGGAACAGTTCCTTGGCACTGGGCATTGCAATGAAAACTCTGCAGCCCCCTGGGATGGAATCCTAAGGGCTCTTTCAAAACTAAACCAAGTTAATTATACAGCAAAGGAGAGCTCAGAGAGAAGAGGCTGAGCACTGCCACAGCACAGCAGGCAGGGATGGGCTGGCATGTTCATGAGTTGCWGGATCCAGAGGTTCTCCTCCAAGAATGGGGAGGGTGGAGGATGTTGCATCATGGTGAGTCTGGAGAGGGTCTGGAGCCCYAGGAATRGCTGAGGGAGCTGGGARAGGGGCTCAGCCTGGAGCAAAGGAGGCTCAGRGGAGACCTTGTGGCTCTGCACAACTCCCTGACAGGAGGGGGCAGCTGGGAGAGATCGGGCTCTGCTCCCAGGGAACAGGGACAGGAGGAGAGGGATTTTAATAGCTGGAAATGCAAGACTTTGAGCTTGAAAGATGCAATTTGGGTTTGTGCAAACAATAGCACATTTTAAATTATATACCATCAGGAAATGGGAATACCTGAGTAAGTCTCTAGCTTTGTTTTCATTTATGAAATGAGAAAAGGAAGCAGAGCATACCTTKGTCCATCGGCAGAGCTTCACCCCAGAATGGCTCCCAATGAGTTTATAACCTGCAAACAAAGCAAAAACCATCAAACAATTGAGTTTTGCATCATCTGCAAGAATTGATGCACTGAACATACCAGTTGGTACTTAACATGATTAACAGCATGGTCCCAACGCTGCTGTTCCCCCCTGGCCCCAAGGGGACACCACCAACAGTGGCAGTGCCACCCAAGWGACTTCAGCCAACTGGGAATGGTTTCTTTTAGTGGGACATTTATTTCTGTTGCTCATTCTGGTTTGAATCAGGGTGCCCAGACTCTTGCATGGACAGGAGGGCAGAGCCTGTCCAACCCAGGCTGTGGGACAGCTCACAAACCCCAAGGAGCAGGCCTAAGGGCTGACCCCAGAAGAGCCTCCTACCCARAACCAAGGATCCTGATCCCACTGGCAGCCCTGCCCCAGCCTGGAGCACAGGATCCGACTGCCAGTGCAGCCAGGAGGGCTCAGGAAGGGAACAYAAGCAGGACTCAGCCTGAAGCCCACCCTGAGCTTCACCAGTTCCACCCCACTGGTTCCAGTGCAGCCCCGGGGAAGGAGAGCTGAGGTCAGATCACCTCCCACTCCCAAGCCAAGACCAACACAATTCCATCTCAATGGGCCCACGAGAGTTAATTGCACAATTCGTTAAGCAGTGAGTGCATTTATCACCCAAACTGCTGGAGAGGGGCTCTGTTCCTCTCGAAAAGTGCTTATAGGCCAATACRTCTGAAGGATTAAAAGTCCTTTCAAAATCAGCATAAAAAAAAGTAGGATTTGAGCCGCCTCACTGTGTCCCTCATGGTGGCATTCATACATCAGTGGCCTGGCTGTCCCAAAGCCAGCACAGCTCAGCTACCTCTCATTAACACTTTCAAGGGAAGGAAAAGGAGCACATTTTAGGTATCAAGTCTTCTTTTGCCAACCAGTGTCAACTTAACGGGGGCAAAGCTTTAAGCTCAGCAGAACTGGTCCTCAGCTCATGCAGGGAGCAGCAGCACTACTGCCCTGCCCAGCTCATTTGTCCCTGAGCAGCTCTGGCACTGCCAGGTCCCAGGGACAGCACCTGCATCCCCAAGTGCCCACAGCTGCAAGGGCACGGGGCCAGCCAGCAGGGACAGGGACAGCAGATGGCACAGCAGCTGCAGCAGGCAACCATCACCGTGTGTGGGCACACAGGGCTAACAGGGAATCACATCATGCTCTGCTCCTGCCCTGCCACCCCGTGGGGCCCTGCCCAGCCCCTCTGCCTGCTCCCYCTGATGGGGCTGGATCCATCTCCTCACTCTGAGTGCACAGGCACAGTGACCTCTGCTGCAGGAGGGCTGGAGAGGGACAGGGGACAAGAGATGGAGGGACAGGACACAGGGAATGGCTTCCCACTGSCAGAGGACAGGGATGGATGGGATATTGGGAAGGAATTGTTYCCTGKGAGGGTGGRGAGGCCCTGGCACAGGGTGCCCAGAGCAGCTGTGGCTGCCCCTGGATCCCTGGCAGTGCCCRAGGCCAGGCTGGACATTGGGGCTGGGAGCAGCCTGGGASAGTGGGAGSTGTCCCTGCCATGGCAGGGGTGGCACTGGACGGGCTCTAAGAACCATTCTGGGATTCTGTACCAGCCCTTCTAAGGCAGTTCCCAAAGCCACCCTGCGGATACCTCTACCTCAGCCTGGCTGAGACCCAGAAGATCCTGGGKCAGGTTCCAGGGACACCCACACACAGCTGGACATGGCTGGAACCCAGCAGCTCCCTGCCCTGCCTGTCTCCAGCTTTGCTTTGCCATTCCCTTCCCTTGTCCAGCACGGTCTAATCTCAGCTGAGCTSCTCTGCCCTGCTCAATGTGTGTCCTTAGAGGATTTGTGGATGAAAGCTGAAAAGGTGCTGATTCCTCGTCCCTCTAATCCCGYTGTCCAAGGCACACTCTGCTGCTGGCACCCAGCACAGCCCAAGCCTTACTTTTCCCATTTCTCYAGATCCAGCAGCAGTGCTCATTTAAGATTATTCTCTCGCAGATCACTTGTCAGGAACAGTAATATGGCTGCTTTCAAATGAGTTTTGGAGAAAAATGACATTGGAAACAGGACATGCTCAGGCAGAGCTGCTACTGAGTTGTTTGAGGGAAGGWGGAAGCAGCTAAACTGCACAAGGTGCCAAGCTGCAGAGCTCCAGCATTTTCTCTGAAGTCCCTGAAACCAATTTCCCCCACGTGCAGCACCCACAGCTTCCCTTAAACGCCAAGAAAATTGTACATGTTCCACATGAAAACAGCCTTACAAAGCACAGTCAGCCTGGGGGATGAGGAGGAGGTTACTCATCCCTGTCAYCGCCACGCGTCCCAGCTGTGGTGACAGCAGGGACCAGCACAGATATGCAGAGCTCCTGAAGCCAGTGCCCACAGCCCTGGGGTCCTTCACCATGAGGGGAATGGGCAGGGTGTGGTCACCCAGCTCTAGGTGCTGGCCATGCCAGGCTTTGGACACCTGGGAATGAGACAAAGCACCAGGGACCAAGGCTGGACACTGCCCAACTCTGGCACAGGTGAGCAGAGACTTCCACACCACAAAGCCTTTCTGCACCRCTGGGATGGAGGAAAGAAACCACCTGGGAGTGTCCCAGAATCACAGAACCGTTCTGGTTTGGAAATCTCGCTGAGTCGAACCATCCCCCAGCCCTGCCCAGGCCAGCCCTGACCCCTGTCCCCAAGTGCCACMTCCACAGGGCTGTTAAACCCCTCCAGGGATGGGGACTCCACCCTGGGCAGCTGTGCCAGGGCTGGACCAACCTTTCAGTGACGAAATTTCCCCAATATCCCCCGCTGCCCCTGCCCTGGCCCAGCCTGAGGCCGTTCCCTCTCCTCCTGTCCCTGTTCCCTGGGAGCAGAGCCCGACCCCCCCGGCTGCCCCCTCCTGTCAGGGAGTTGTGCAGAGCCACAAGGTCCCCCCGGAGCCTCCTTTGCTCCAGGCTGAGCCCCTTTCCCCATTCCCTCAGCCGCTCCTGGGGCTCCAGACCCCTCCCCAGCTCCATTCCCTTCCCTGAACACGCTCCAGCCACTCAATGTCCTCTCTTTGGAGGGACCCAAATCTGTCCCCAAGGCTGGAGGTGCCTCAGCAGTGCCAGCATAGGGGGACAGGAATGTCCTTATTTGAAACCAAAAATTGAAACCAAGCATGAACAACTGTGATCACAGCAGCCTGAGGGGCTCCAGCCCTGTGCCCACATTGGAGCTCCTCTCAGCCTCCCTTTTGGAAGCTCAGGCCAGCTCCACTCTTCCAACGGCTTTGCCACAACATCCCCATSGTTCTGCCAAGGCAAATGGTGCTTGAATCCAACCCTCCTGATGGCCCGAGTCTAGAGCTGGGCATGCCAGGACTCCCTGGGAACACATTCCCTCCTTTGCTCCAAAGGATCTGCTCCAAAGGAACGACTCATGAGCAGCAACTCCAAGCGGGTATTTGGAGCCAGCACCTCCCAAACAATGCAGTGCTTTGATGGACCTGCTGCTCCCCATCCCTGTGTCCCTCAGCTACTAAAACTGAACAAACCAATCTGTTTATTATTTCTACAGTCTCATATTCAAAGGATTCCTTCAGTTATAAGCAGGCTCACAGTAATCAGCTCAGCTCCTGTCTAAAGGACAGGAAYATCTCATCTGGAGGCTGGGTGTTTGTTGATCCTGCTCGAGATGATAAATTTCAGATGACCCAGAAGCTTGCCAAACTTCACTGAAATTAAGTGTCACTTTTATAGACATGAATTAAGCTTTTAAACAACCTTTGGGGTGAAATGAGCGTTATCAGGCAGTAACACCAGGCTGAGAAACATTTGGTGATTGCTCACCCTGACAGGCCAACGGGASTTTAATAGAGCACACAGGGACGGGGAGGTGGAGAGATGGCCACAGTCACAGCCCTGATGGCTCCAGAGACTGGGGCACAACTGTGCTCAGCTCCCTGGAACCACATTGCAGCATTTCCACCCCATCCTGGAAATAAAGATGCCAAAGTCCTTTCTCTGACACTGGAAGAACTCCTGGAGGGGCCAGTTGAGCTCTGAGCACTGAGCCAGGCCACTGCTGTCTGCATTCCCAAGGCACACTGCAGGATATCCAGGTGTTCTGGGTGGGGCTGGTCAGTTCACCAGCACCATACCCACATCCAGCCTTTCCACGCTCCTGGCTGTGGGTGAATTGTGTCCAGAACTGAGGATTGTGTTCTTTCTGAGAGCAGAGCAGAGATGCTGCACTGCCACGAGCACAGTTTGTCAGGAGCTGTGTCATGGCACCTGCACACTCTGAACAGCTCCTGTAAGAGCTCTGCCCAGCAGCCCTCAGGAACAGTCAATATCCCCAGGTGGCAGCAAAATGGCCAGAACAAAATCCACAGATACAGAATTCCTGGGGCTGGAAAAGACATCCACTGTGTGCCCAATGCCCACCCTGTCCCCTGCCCAAAGCACTCTGTGCCACCTCCAGCCCTACCCTGGACACTTCCAGGGATGAACACTCCAAACCTCCCTGGGCAGCCCCTGCCAAGKCCTGACCACCCTTTCCATGGGGAAATTCCTGCAGCCTGAGCCTGCCTTGGCCCAGCCTGAGGCCATTCCCTCTCCTCTCCATGTTCCCTGGAAGCAGAGCCCCACCCAGAGAAGCCGTGGSTGCTCCTGGATCCCTGGAAGTGTCCAAGGCCAGGCTGGACAGAGCAGCCTGGGACAGTAGGWGGTGACCCATGGCAGGGATTGGGACTGGATGGGCTTTAAGGTCCCTCCAGCCCCGATCATCCCAGGATTCTGTGGTTCTTTATCCACAGCAAAATTCAAGGCATCTGCAAGAACTTGGCATTTTGAAGAGCTGTCCCTCAGTGTCAGCCCTGGCTGAAGTCTGGAATGGAAGGTTCCAGCCTGCACAGGTCTCCTCCTACAATCAGAGACAGAACTACAAATTGCTGTAAACTTGGTCTCTTTTTTTTTGCTTTTCAGAGACATTTTTCAGTCATTCAGGGCACATTCCCGTTAGTCTGAACTGTCCCCTTGTGTG